AAATAAAAAATCTGATTGGATATTTTATGTAGATCAGTTTTGATATAAAATTCGATAAGTCGGTTCTCTCGATAAGTTGGTCATATGAGCTCACCCCAGCGTGACCGACTTATCGAGTTTACATGTGTACAAACATACACTTCATGTGCATACTTTAACATTAAAGGTTGGTCGTAATGTAAAATTAATTTTATACATGGAGAGGATATATATTTTAAATAAATAAATTCAACAATCTTTTGACAAAAAAATTTTTTATATTAGTAGTATATATATAGTTCACCCTCCATACAACCAACCCTCCATCTCTATATGTAATTTGTTTGTTATGGATAGAGAGTGTTTACTAAGATGTTCGTCATAGAGAGTGTTTACTAAGATGTTCGTCATAGAGAGTTTTACTAAGATATTTGTCATAGAGAGAAATTATGAAAAAATGAATCGGAGACAGAAGTAAAGTTTATGAACTCTACCAACTCCAAGGCGCAATACTAGGTTGTTCAAACAAGTCACACATCAAGGTACCTTGTTAAATCAATAAGTTATTCTATATACTTAGTTAAAAGTGATTTTTAAAAATCTTTATGCCTTTTCATGGAGAAATGTAAAAAAAAAATTTTTATTTTATACTATTTAATGTTAATAAAGAAAACCAAGTTCTTACAAGATTAAGAACAAGAAGTTTTATAATATTTAAAATTGTATGTATATATATTTTAAACTTGCAAGTAATATGTGTAACATTCAAAATACAAAAGAAAATTTATTTTTTATAACCGATCCTTTTTTAAAAAAGCTATAGAAGAGTTTCTTTACTAAAAGTTATATTAAAAGGAAGCTGAAGATTTGTTCTTACAAGGAAAAAAATTTTAACATGTGGTGATATATAAAATTTTATTTTACAATATGTACGTGTTTTGCGTTTTATTTATTTCTACTAATAAATACTAGTAATTTCATAGTGCGTGACAGTTTTGGATTCACAAAATCTATATGTGTAACATCGAGTTGTCCCCCCATTTATTTACTTACCCCTAGGTATTATTAGTCGAACGATGTGTCACATTAAACGATTGGGAAGTGTATTTTCCGAAATTTTTTTGGTGATCAATGTCGAAATTCTATTAATAAAATTAGCCACAAACCTTAATTTTAACCCTTTTTTGCTCAGCAATCTTCACCAAATTTGAGACACAGATTTTTTAAGACTTATTCCTTCTTTTTTTAAAAAAATAGGAGAGATTATTAATAAAATAGTAAAAAATCTTGGTGTTAAAGTTTGTCGACCAAATTACCGCATTTGGGAATTAATTATCTATTTTTGGTCAGCATGGTGGAAGTTCAATTTAATTGGTCGTGTAATGTGACAAAATTGAATATACAAAAATGGAAACTTTTATATAAAGTTCGGCCGATCCCTAAATAAATAATAAATTTTCGCATGTTTCGGATTTTTCGAATTTATTTTTAGACACAACCTTTAACTGTTAACTGTTGTTGGCTTCGATATAGGTATAAAAAAGAAGGAATTCTGTAAAAATTTATGTAAAATTAAAAAAAATAAAAAAAATATAATCAAATTTCTTTTTATTCTTAATATTAAAAACTCTTTTTCCTGGCTAGTTAAATAAAATCAAAACCATTATTATTATACTTACTATTCACTATTATTCATTATACTTACTATTCACTATTATTCATTATACTACTACTTATATTATTTGCTATTTTAACTAAACTTTGATTATTTAATAAAAATGATGCGTAAAAATAAATATACTGGTCCTTGTGCAGTTGAAAATTGTAAAGAAAATGAAAAAAGTCCCGAGTATGTTACTTTTAGAAGTATAACTGATAAAGCATTCGATAAGTTAATGAAGCATCCAGATTATTTAAGTATAAATTACTTAAAAAAAAATCAACAACTTTGTTTTACACATTATATGAAATATGTAGAACATAAATATAAAGAAGTGAATAAAAATGAATTATCTGGTGAATATTCTTTGGATGACATTAAAAATTAATATTACAGAAAATGGAATTCTTTTATCTGAAGAAGATTTTAGCTTACTGGTTCAAAAAATTGAAAATTTGGAAGCAAAGGTTGAAAAAAATAAAGAAATTGAAAATATATTTAACATAAATAATATTTTTTTAACAGTTCAGAACAACTTGGAAAAAAGCATTAAAATGATTATTTTTATTAATTGATTAATTATTTATTAACTGATTAATTATTTATTAATTGATTTTTTTATTATAGGCTCCTTAACTTTTGCAGATAAAATTGAATGATTGACCAATATACTTTTCCAACAACAACGTAAATCAAATGAAGATATTGAATTAGATCCTATAAATTTTTGTAAATTAATTGAAGATAAAGAACCAAAGTTGAAAGGATTTTTAATGAACTAACAAAAATAATCCCTGAAGAAAGAACATATCTGAATAAAGAATCAGCCAAAAAATCTATTGTAGGTTTTTGTTATCTTTTAGCTGGAATAAGAAACAAATTTGTGAATAATTTTAAATTAGACCTTGGGCTTTATTTAGAAGAAAATGGAACCAATGCTGCTGCACTTGATACATTATCAAATGCTAACCTTTCTGCTTGTTACAAAACTATTCAGAATTATAAAAAAACCATTGCAAAAAATCATCAAAAAAAAGTTGAAACATATTTTACCAATTATCTTCCATATATGCATTGTTTTAATATTGATGATTTTCATTCCATCCATGAATGGAGAAGACCTGATTCCACAACACTATCTTCTGCAGTACATATGGCAACATGTGTTGCAAAAAGAATTGACAATGTTTGGGCAGTTCCTGCTAATTTTAATAATGTGCCTATTTTCAATCCAAATAATATTGACTATTCATTAATAAACTCAAAACTTATTAATGATTATAAAGGAATCTTTGATATAAGTTATAATAATATAAAAATACAATGGGTTAAAGATAGATTATTGATAGTAGAAATTTTGATCGTGTTGAAGTTTTAACTATTCATATATATAATGCAGATATTGAAGAAAAAAAAGAAGAAAGGTCAATGGAGTCAGTAAAGATAATAAATATAAAACAACAGAGTCTTCACTCATTGGAAGATTATTTGTCAGCATTAAAATTGATAACAAGTATAAATAGTTTATCAGAATATATTAAAAAAATGTTATACCTGTAATTGCTGACTACCCAGGACAACTCTTTCTTAGAAAAGCTATTACACTACATTCAAAACATTTATTAAGTAATATTGATGGGATTGAAAATGTTGTTCCAATATTGGGTCCATTGCATGTTTCTTTGAATTCAAGGGAATGTGTTGTAAAGATACATTATGATTTCTTTAAGAAACTATTCTGTACAGTATTTGAGAAGAAAAAATTCCCCCAAAAGCCTAAACCATGGCGCATTAACCTTCTTCTCCAGTTGGCTCATGATGGATGGATGGAAATTTCAAAAGATATATTAGAAAAATTTAATAAAACAAAAGATGTGGAATATAGAATGGTGATTGATCTATTAGATAATATTATACCAGCTACCTTGGATATATACACAATTCTTTTTCGATCTGGAGCTTTCGAACAATACCTTGAAACAATTTTTCGCATCTGGACATTTTTTTTAAGATGGGGAAGAAAAAACTACAACAAAATTCCTCTTGCTTTTTTATCTGATTATTTTTATTGGAAGCAAAATAATCATCCATTTGCAAAATTTTTAGAAAAATCATTAGTAAATTTTAATGATTATTTTGTTGAAAACATACATAGCAAAATAAAGCACATACAAATAAATTTTCCTCTCCTGAATCAATAGTACAAGAAACATTTATTATTGATTCTTGTAAAAAATCACCATTTGTTGACGCCTTTTCCAAAAATAAAAGATATCCATACACACCAGCACATTTGGATTATCTAACTAAAAAAACAAGCTGCTTTTTAATAGAGTATTTTTTCAATATTTATAAAAATTTAAATACCAGTAAGCCATATTATAAGGGAAAAAAATTAACAAATTATACATTAAGCACCCTAAACATAAAAGTAGATTTAAAATCATTACCTGCTGGTTATCACACAGAATATCCACCAAAAAAGGATTTGTGTGATAATTGTGACAAAGCATTTGATCCAAACTTTCCATATACTGATGGGTATGTATTGATTTGTGGCCATAGTTATCATTATGAATGCTACGAAGATCTTGGAAAAAGTTATATACATTGTATGGAATTTTACAAAAAAGGCATCTTTAAAAATGTTGATGCTTTTGTATCACAATTAGAAAAATTTTCTACAATTGAGCCGGAAGATAATGATGATAATGGAAATGATGATGATAATAATGATGATGATTCAATTAATATAGACGAAGAACATGTAAATAGATTATTTTTAAACTTAAAAAATGAAATAAAAGATTGGTAAAATCATATTTATTAAAAAAATTTTTTTTCCTATATAATTATTAATACAACTATTAAAATAATTTACAATTTTAAAGGAAAATACATTTATAACAAAACCTCATGAGTATTAACGTTATTGTGATGCATTGGTAATTAACTGCCCTTCTTTCTTTATTATATGTTTAATTGCATGATTTTTTTTTAAAGGTGTAATAAAAAAAAAAGTAAAAAAGATATCTCCTGACAAGGTAAAATTACTATGTAAAATAAGTTGTATATAACAAAACCTCATGAGTATTAACCAGTGAGTAAAATTCAATGGTGACACAATCTACATGCGCACATTCCATAATCGGAAAAAAATTTTATTTTAAAATATACAGCAGTTTTTTCGTAATAAAAAAAATAAATAAAAAATGACATTTTGTAGCTTAGGTTCTTACAATTATGCTTAAAGTTTTTTGTAATATCTAGAACTTTTTTAATTTAAAAAATTAATAATAACAAAAATTTGCTGATTACAATTTGAATCATGTTTTTAATTTTTTAATTGTTAATTTTTCCATATGTTTTGAATCATGGAATTTTTACATATTTAATATACAAAGTCATAGTTTTCATTTGGTATAATTTAATAAATTTTTATCATGTGAAACTTTGATAATTTAGATAATACTGTAACTTTTACAAATTTAATCAAATTTTGCATTTTTAGTTCTAGATATTACAAAAAACATTAAATCATATGCACAATTGTAAGAACCTAAGCTATTGAATAATGTAAATTTCATATAAAGTTAATATGTAACATTTTAATATTTTTCAAAAACTGCATACTTTCTTCCAGGTACTGTAATAATTTTCTTTAACATTCATGGTTGCTCCTTCTGATTTTTTTGCCTTCCCAATGCTTATATGCTTTTTCAAAATCAAAATCTTCTATTTCTGGTCCATTTAATAATATCATTAAATGATTACTCAAAGTATCAATACTCATTTTATTTCTCATATTATTTTTTATTAAATTTTGCTGGGAGAATATTCTTTCTACTTGAGCATTAGAAAGGGGTATAATCAGTGCTATTTTAAGAATGAGTGATATAGTTGGATAATTAAAAGAAAAATCTTCATCTGTATCCAATATATGCTTCCATAATTGAATAAAATCCATTTCTTCATTATTATTTTTATAAGTCCAGAGATAATATTTTACTAAATCCCACTCTTGCTTAAGTTTTTCTTTATCAATAATTTTACTAAATTCAATTCTATTTATATATTTAGTTTCTCCATAAAAATCACCTAAAAATTCTATTTCCTGATTTCCATATAAAGCTAATTCTCTATCATCACTTGGAAGCTCTTTTGGATCAAGAATGCTGAAAGAGCCATATAATTCAGATTCTGGAAATCTATTTCTAATGGCATTAATAATTGCAATTGAATATTCTGGAACAAATTGTGGAATAAAATTATTATGTTCATCTAAATATTTTTTAAATATTGCGCCATAATTTGGTGGAATTTCTTCAGATCCTATAAATTCTGTTTGGATTGCTTTAAGTGTAGTATCAAGTTGTGATTTAAAATGTGATAATGATAAATGTTCCAATTGGAATATATTTATTAATTTTTTTAGAATATTTGTTAAATCAGCAAGATACTTTGTTGCTGAAATAAAAGTTTGATCCATTTGCTCATATAAAATTTCAGCATGTTTATCTCCTTCTTGAATATTCTCATTTAGAGCAGATAATACAGAGTCCATGATTTGATGCAAATTACCCACAGAATTTGAAAATGATAACCACCTAGTAGCACATATATTTAATATTACAAGTGATGGTTCTTCATTAATTTCCTAGTAATGATAAAAATTATTAATAAAAAAAATCAAATTAAAATAATTATAATGATAATTAATTACCTGCATTAACTTTAAAATTTGTTGTCGTTTGAGATTTTGAAAAATAACCATACAAATTTTTCAAAATTTTCTCATACTTTTCAAAATATATGACATCTTCTGAAGCATCTTTCCCAGCTAGATGAAATCTATGTGATATACAATGATTTGAATACATGAATGGATTGATTCCTTTGAATCTTGCTGCAACACCACTTATGTGACCTAAAGGTTAAAACATCTATTAGCTAAAATAAAACATTAGTCCATTGACATTAATTAAGTATTAATTTCATACCAGTCATATTTGAAGCTCCATCACTTCCAAAATGAATTATTTGATGATAGGGATTATACATGAAGTCGAAATTAAAACCCTAAAGTCGAAATGCTTCGACTTGAGGCAACTACATAGTAAAAATCAGTTTCGACCTTATTTCGACCCTATTTCGACCAGATCTGCAAATGGTCGAAATAGTTTCAACTTCATGTATAGATAGGATATCTCATTTGAAATGCAAAATGATATGATTTGGTTATAAATATTTTCTCCAACAGTTGAGTCTAGATTAATCAAGCCCAAATACCTCATAATTGGCATATTATTAGCAATACATTTTCCCATAATTGCTAAATATTTATCATCACCAACACTATTAGCTTCATCAATCATTACACTCCAATAAGGTGAAGAATTCAACTCATCAAAAAGTGAATTTTTTATTACAGAGGCTATACTATCTAAAAAATCAAATCCAGCTATAGAATTTTTATAACTTCCATATTTTGATTTAGATTTTGATGGTTTTTCTAATGAAGCAGGTTTTAAAGTAGAAATTTTATTGCTAATGTTGTTTTCAGTTTGTAAAGACATTAAATTACACAAATCAGGGTAAATTTTTTTTAATGAAATATTATGTTTTGAACAAAAATAAATATTTCTCATTAATGAAATAATTGACAATTTTTCTCCATTTGATTGTTCTGTATCTGAAACAAGTAATATTGATTCTGATTTTTTATGCTCATTGGTGTTTGAATGTGCTTTGATTTTATCTAACCTAAAAAATTTTGTACCTTTTGAAAAATTTGACATTCCATTTCTATTTCTACAAAGTTTACAAAAAATTAATGTTTCTTGATTAATTTCTTCAGATTCCAACCATGTATATCTATTGAACCAATCTTTATTGATATTTTTTCTATAATGTGAACTTTCTTTTGTTTGTTGTAGTTCTCCAATTTCACCACTATTATTTAATTCATCATCTGATGATTCAATAAGTTCTATTGTTTGAATTGAAATATTAAATTCTTTTTCAGGCATTTTATTTTTTTTAGAATTGGAATTTTCTTTTTCAGACCAAGATCTTTTTGGGTTATATTGATTTGACATTTTTAAATGAATTAATTATTAAAAAATTTTAATTTTTTTGAAATTGATAAAAATTGAGGCAAAAATTACAATGATTTATAATTATTCAAATTATGCAAAGCAAAATTAAGAATGAATCAAGACAATATTAAAATTACAAAATGAAGATAGTATATATAGTTAAAGAAACATGGTTAGTTAAGTTTCAAAATATCCAATTCCAAACAATATTAAGTTATATTTTCTTGGATAATATTAAGAGTTATTTGACAAAATGTAAATAGTAATAAAATAATGTTAAGGGGAGAAATTGTTTCAAAGCTAAGGTAGGGATTTTGTTTCAGCCGTGATTTGATATTTTTAATTTTTAATTACATGGATTTTTGGATTTTTTTCTGCACAAATTTTTAGTCACACAAATGCCGTGTAACGTGATACCCGCCCGTTCCGCCCGCTCAATTTTTCTCACTGGTCATATCTTTTTCCTCCAATTTATCAATCATTTAAAATTCATCGATATGCAGGAAAACAAAAAGTCCCTGATTCGAAATGTTCAGCAATGCTCTGAAACACAGCACCAATGTTGAAGCGTTTGATTTACGGCATGATCTTTGACCGGAATTCAATAAATGACATTTTATATTTTTTCATGGATGAAGAATACATAAGCAATTCGTATGACAATAATCACTAATGAAGAACCATAATCAATACCATCAAGTGGACACACATTCCCAAAATCCATGCAAATATATCGAAAACGAGGTTGAAGATTTTTTGTTGGCAAAGTAGGCGGAACCCAGTTATCTCTGAGTTGAAAGAAAAGTTCTTGGCCAAATCGTGTTTACCATAGAGAAACAAAAATTTGAATATAAAATTGGACTTTTTATGAGTGTTAAAGAAGTTAAAGATAATCTATCCCCTCCACTAACAAGATATTAAAATCTTTCTTTTGTTTTTTACCCAAAATGTTATTTTCTAAACACTTTAATTGCCTTGGTAAAATCACGGTGCAACAATGGCATCTCAAAATCATATTCTGAAGTGGAAGCATGACCAACATTTTCTAAAACAACCTTGTCTATAATATCTTTAACTGGAATTAAAAGAAATAAACATTAGAAATTAGGAATGCATGCAGACACAATATTTCATGAATTATAATATACTTGTTTTAAATGAGTTTTTATCGTTGTGGAAGTAAAAAGTAGTAACAGAACAATTTAGTGAAAGTTAAAACAGTATACCAAATAAATCTTTTTTTTTTTTTTTACGCAATTTGTTCATTATCTTTTTCATTAAATCCGGCAAGTTTATTTTGTAAATTTATCATCTGCTCACGCCAATCCTTCTCCTCCTCCTCCGACCTCTCTTTTTCTTTCTAAGCCTTCCGTTCCTCACAACTCCTTATAATTTTTCAAGTCCCCTCCTCCATAAATTTCTTCGGCCTTTCTATGCTCTTCCTTTGCGTCCTTTAACTCTTGTTCAATTTTTTTCGATATTTGTTAAAAAAAAAAAAATTGTAAATTCTAGCTAGCCAAAAAAGCTATCAAATATCGTCTTAATTTTTTTCAGGATAAGCACTCAATATTATTATTTAACGATTTAATAATGAAGCGTCATTGATTTGTCATGATCAACAATCAAAGGGAAAAAAAAAATAATTAGCAGTAATGGGGCCATGATATCAAGGATCGTCGGCAACTGCACCGCAGAAAATGTGAAAATTTAGCATGCCTATGACATAAAGATTATGTATTTTTTTTTTGATTCCCAGTGCTAAAAAAATAAATTAGCAGTAATGGGTCATGGTTTCAAAGATCGACGATTTTAGTGGTATTTGCACCACAAAAACGTGAAAATTTAGCATACCTATTACATAAAGATTATGTATTTTTATTTTGATTGCCCAGTGCTAAAAAAAATAAATTAGCAGTAATGGGTCACGGCCTCAAAGATCGACGATTTTATGACATAAAGATTATGTATTTTTATTTTTTGATTGCTAACTAATAGAATGATATCATTAATGATAATTATTGTTGTAAATATAAATAAAACCGTATCTCTCGAGAGCAAATTCTTTTTTTTTTTTTTTTTTCACACATTTTTCGAAAAAAAAAACAATTACTTTTAAACAACAATAATAATAACTAAAAATGGCACCAATTCAAAAAACCGGCGAAGCCGCAAAACCTGTTGTTAGTAAAGAAGATTTAAAGACTGGCCAAAAAGTTGTATATCATCCTGTTGGTGGGAGTATGCAACTTACCGAAGGAATTATCAAAGGAATTGTTACTGAACCATCGGCATGTATATTCATTCGTTCGATTTGATTTTTTTAACGAATTTTGTGCATAACTAAATGATTGTTATAATTTTATAATAAATATTCGATAGACTGTTGGGAATACTCAAAAGAAAGTTAAAGCAAGTAACGAAGAACCACGTATAGTCATTGAAAATCTACATACTCATAAGGTTGTTAATATAAATTTTATCGAATAATAATTAGCGAAATAAATGAAAAAGTTTTATTTATAAATATTATTTTTTTGATTCATGTAGGAAACCGGTAAATTTCAAAATAATCATATAATCACAATCATAATCACAATTATTTATTCAACACTACTAAATAAAATTTGAATTATTCATTTTACACATGTTTATTCAGCTTATAAACTTGAAAATATTGAAAAGATCGTGGATGACGAGTAAGGTGATAAAATTCGAGGAGAATAGTAATCATCAAATAATAATAAACATTACTACTTTTTGTGATATATTAGATGATGGATTATCTTTTATTATCAAAATGTAATAATACAAAAAAACGAAAATCTAAAATATAATTAGTAAAAAAAATTATCTAAAAAATATGTCATTGTTCATTGAAAATATATATAAAAATATTATTTTCTAAATAATCTTTTGACAACATTAAATCCCATCTTATTACTATCAGATTTCGTTTCACGATCATCGATCAGAAGTTCTTTATTCAGTGTCTGTTGATCTTGATCTTCTAATGTTTTGTTATCAGAAATATTTCCAAAATCATCATCAAAACTTGATGATGCTGTTGTATCATGTCTACGTTTGAGACTATTTGTGGCATTATATGCACGACCAATTATATTGATTGTTAGATTGAGACATGATGATATTAATGTTAATAATGGAACAATATCATATGAGACAGTTTTTTGTTGATATAAAACCTATTTTTGAAAATTTTAAAAATAATATATTTAAATAAATAAAATTAAATAAATATAACTAATCAATCAACCAACCACATAATATATATAAATATTTTATAAAAATACCTGAACTATAACTTGCGGCAAATCCTCTAAAAAAATATTAGCACATGCTCCCCAAAATATTTTTGTTATTGCATCATTGGAGAATGGTGCATTGAAAGCAGCAAATCCTGCCAAGTTTGATTGAAGGATTGTCAGTGCATCAATATCTGCTCCTGCCAATACTGTGAAAATGGATGCTACTTTTCCATGCGCCGAAAACCATTTATAAAAAACTTCTCTTGAATTTTCATTCGTTATAATGGTAAATGCCAATACAGTATTTACGGCAATTGGTACTGTTATAAATACCACACTATAGAAAAAAAAATTTTAATTATTTTAAAAAACCAAATAAATAATAAGAAATTCAAATTTTTTTATATTCTATTAAAAAAAAAACCCACCATGGAATATAAAGTACTTCGACCTGTTTGCCATTATTAATAAGAAATACAACGTCCATAACCATATCAGAAATAATAAGCCCAAGTTGTAATATTACTATATTTCTTCCCTAAATATCATAAAAAAAAACTTTAAAATTTTCTCTTTTAAAAGTTGATTGATTGATTGATTGATTGATTGATTGATTTACCTTGCTTTCTCTTCTTTGTGCTATTAAAAAAAGTGTGACTAAAACAGCGAGTCCCAAAAATAATCCCAAAAATTTTAATTTATTTCTTTCCCATAAATTTTCTAAAAATGATATAAATATAAATTTAAATAATTTTATAATGTTTTCCTTTACAATATATAAAAGAAGATAGATATTTACGTGTTGCCTGAAGTCCATAATCAGGATCTAAATATTTTGTGACGGTACCGGATGAAATAGGTGTTGCATCGCTCTCACTAATCATTACATTTAAATCTCCAATAACTCCCTCAACACTTCTAGATGATTTGTCTTTGGTTTGTTCAATATCAACAGATATTAAGAATTGTCTTTTCGGTGAAACTGAAGGATCAACTTGAGTACGGCCATTTGAGCTCAAACGACTTTTGTCAATTGGAACGATGCTAGCAAGTTCTTCAACTAATGTATTAAAGAATCGCTTTTGACCTTCACTATTAAGAGATTCGAAAACTGCTGTACCCTCGCTCGTCAATCGTAGTAATCCGGTGGCTGAATCTATATTATTTTTTTTTTTAATTTATTTTTAATTAAGAAATTTCACATTATATTATTATATTTTATACATATATACATGTGGATATTATTTACCTGCAATCTTTTCATCTTGTGATCCTATAATAATTTTTTATTTATTAATAAAAAATAAAAATCAAGATAAAAAATAAAATAATAGACAAAATCAAAGATCACCTGTTGAAATTTTCCAGATGTTTTCTTGGATACCCAAGAGTGGTTCTTGAGTTTTTTTATCTCGAACAAAATTATTATCCACCTTGATATAATAATTGCTACTTTGTTGAGAAAAAGTACTTGATATTATATTGAAAGTTACCGTTAAAGCATTACTAGTTATATTACAATATTTCGTATTAGTGCCAAAAACTTTCTGACGAAGAACGTTGTTGCCACCATCTTGAACTAGATATACTGATATAGCGCCTTCAGATAATTCAACTTCATCACTATAAGTAATGCTAACTTGGTTCAAATTATTCGTTGATCGATCTGAAGTAGGTGTTATCACTGTACCTATCGGTGGAACTGTAGATTGAACATGTAGATTGTAATACCCATTATCTATAACAATAATAATAATAATAATAATTAAAAAAACCATTTTAATAAATCAAAAATATATAAATAATTGTAAAGATTAAAGAATTTATTAAAAATACCGGGTAAAGCCGAAAATTTAGGCATTTCAGAAACAAGCAATGACCAAGTACCAGGCAATTCTGGTTGAGTAAGAACTACACTATTATTTGCAAGAAGAGCACTACGACCGAAAGCATTTACTTGGATGGCTTGACCAAAATCCCATGGCGAACTGGCCTTTTTAACATCATCATAAAGATATCCAATGGCATAAGAACCAGTAGCATTTATCGTACGTGTATCTATCAGAAATCCACCGTACGGTAAGGATCGGATATTCCATGAAACTGTATTTAGACCGTCGGCTGGTATAACACGATCTATTGGATCGAGCCCAGAAACTGAACCCGATGAAAGAAAAGAAACTCTGATATAATACAACTTGGAAGTGGGAGCTTGTGGTGGAGTAGTAGTGCTAGTTATGGTTTGGTTTAAGGTCAAAATACAACTATGACCAACTTCAATATAATCGATGTCACATTTCATATTATTAAATATTATATTATCCAATGGTATTTGATAAAGAAATTTAGGTGTGCTGACATCAGTGGTATTGTATTCTATATTGAAAATAAACATTTGACCACGAATTTTTAAAGGATCAGGATTGTTGTCAGGTTTAGTAGTGTTTGCCAATATGATTGCATAATCTTCTTCAGCTGTTGCTATCGATCTAAAGATAGCACCTGATATGTCTGATGCGATTGGAGTTTTTCCTTCAGACAATTCAACAATTTCATTAGTAACACTATCTCTAATTGTAATAGAAAAATTTCAAAAATTAATAATAATAATTACACATGTATAAATATGTAATATTTAATAAAATAAAATAACAGCAGTTACATGTTGAATTGTTTAAAAGATAGACTAAAAGTATTTCTTATAAAACTAGTCCATAACCACCCTTTATCTCCATTGATATTTGGTGTTACACTACCAATCAGTGACGGGTTCCAAACTCCGTTATTAATATACGAGTCACCAAATTTGCGTTTACTAAATAAAATATTAATCATATTGATAATATTTGATTAAGTGATGATGAAGTGGGATTTTCAACATTTTCAATTAAAATTTTTTTACCTAATAATATTTCCATTCAAGTCAATTACCATTCCCCAATCTTCATAGGTTGTGACATCAGTTGCATTAGTGGTATTTATGTAAGTTACCAATATACGAGTACGGCTAATACTAAATAATTTTATAGGACTGATAACTCCTATTGGTAACTGAGCAAGGGCATAATTCATAGAGGGAATTTGTAGATCAAGGTCGATTGCATTTACTGTTCCATTTTGAAAAAGTACTCTTAATGATAATTTCTCTTCCAAATACGCTTTTGTTGGATCAGCTGCCGCCGTTGGATCTTTATATACTATTCTTATAACAAGTGTTGAGTCATCTCTATAATTAATCAAGTCAAATATACGAGGAGTTGATTTCTTTGGTATTATCTCATTATAAGTAAATACGCGCGGTGCGGATTCAACCGAGATTAATATAAACAAAAGTATTGGTAAAATTAATTTAAATATTAGATTTATTTTCATTTCTTAAACTATAATACTTTTTTTTTTTTTTTTTTTTTTTTATGAAAAAAAAAATTTTTTTTTTATTTATTTATTTAAAAAATAAAAAAAAAAAAAAAAATAAAAAGAAAAAAAAAAAAAAAAATTTTATTAAAAAAAAAAAAAAAAATATTAAAAAAATTAAATAGCAAATAAATAAAACATATTCTTAATATTTTAGTATTAATGATATTTTTTTTAACAAATATTTGACACAGAAAAGTGTGTTGAAGAAAATTAATATTTTTTAATAATTATTGATTACTATGTTTTACAACTCCATCAATCACCATTGTATCAACACCATATCTTTCTTGTATTTTTATATTACGAGGTTCATTATTTGAAGATCCAAAGGTTGTTAAAATTAACCCAGATTGTTTAATATTCGTTATTAATGAAGGTACACGAAGCTACATTCATCACCATTATCAAAAAAGAATCATTGTTATAAATGAGGAAAAAAAAATAAATTCTTGAAAATCAATCATCAATCGTAATTAGTAAAATGTTTAAAATCACACATACCAATAATGTAGCTTCAAAAATGACACCTAATAAATTATTACTTTTAGCAAATTTTACTGCCTCTTTAATCGATGTACAACGTTTATCCTGCTCAATATTTAATTCATGAATTTGACGAATTGGAATAATTTTGTTTTCTTCCTCGGCATTATTATTTTTCTGACGATCCAATGATTCGCTTTCATATCCACAATAAGATTTGAAAAATACCGCATCTTGAAGACAACAACAATAGTATTTTTCAATTATAAAACAATGTAATTGGATAAATTAAATAATAAATAAAATATTTTTGAATATTTACAATTTGGTTGTTTCCAATTTAAAGCAGTGCAGATTGCAGGATTTAATGAAGAAAATATCACTGATCTGTGATTTATCGAATCCTTGCTTATGTTTTTTTTTGCATAATCGTAAACTGTTTGTAAAATAGTGTCGACATAACTATTTATATCGGGTAGATCTGAAAACCAATAACCAATTGATTATGGCAATTACTAATAAATTAGATCAAGAATGAATAGAAAATGAATTTTCAAGTGTGCAGAAAAAAAAAAAAATCAAAATCGATTAAAACAAATACCTCTAAAACAACTTCTAAAGAAAGAAAAGATTGGTGAACTAATCTTTGTAGTTCGGATGTACTTTTTGCCGAATAAAAATCATCCTCTATATTTTTTTCCTTCAGTCCTTCAAATTGTTGAAAGGTAACATTAAATACGCTTAAATCAAATTTTGTAATT